TTACTGTGCCAAAGGCTACACACAGAAAAAGGGGCTGGATTTCTTTGACACCTTCTCCCCAACGGCTAAACTGCCTACCCTTCGCACTCTCCTTGACGTCGCTGCTCGAGGCAACTTCGAGGTCCACTCTATGGATGTCTCAGCGGCATTCCTGCAAGGAGACCTTCTTGAGGATATTTTCATGGAACGGCCTCAAGGGTTCCCCTTACCCTTTCCACCCGAAACAGTCTGGAAGTTGAATCGACCCGTCTACGGGCTGAAGCAAGCTCCTCGCGAATGGCATAAGAAGCTGAAGGTCACCCTCGAGTCACTCGACTTTCATCCTTCTGCCACCGATCCGAGCCTTTTCATTCGCAAGAACGAGAAGCCGTTCTTCATTCTCGTCTATGTTGACAACATGATCCTTGTCTCCAAGGACTCCGATCAGCTGGCAGCAGTCAAGCAAGCCCTACCTAGGGGACGCGCTCGCGATGAAGGATCTCGGCGAACTCAAGAACTACCTTGGGATGGAAATCACGCGGGATCGTGAAGCCCAAACCATTACTCTCTCCCAAGAGTTCTACGTGAACAACGTCCTCAAGCGCTTCGACATGGACGAAGCCAAGTCAGTGGCTACGCCGCTTCCCCTGCAGCACGATCTAACTGCCCCGCCAGTTCTATCACGTGAGCCTTGTGATGCAGCTTATCCCGAGCTCGTCGGCTCACTCATGTATGCGATGATGTGCACAAGGCCCGACTTGGCCTATCCCATCAGCGTGCTCTCACGTTACGTTGCTACTGGTCGTTACACCAATCGCCACTGGTCAGCTGCTAAGCGTGTCCTTCGCTACCTTCAAGCCACCAAGGACTTTGTCCTCACTCTCGGTGGCACGTCCCTCCTCACCTCGAGGGGTACAGTGATTCCTCATGGGCTGACGACCAAGCTGACCGACGCTCCTCCCAGGGCTATTGCTTCACCCTTGGTAGTGGTGTCATCAGCTGGCGATCTACACGCTCATCGTCCGTCTCTTTGTCGTCCTGCGAAGCAGAGCTGTACGCAGGCACCATGGCAGCCCAAGAAGCCCGATGGCTTACCTACCTCATGGCTGAGCTCGGGTATCCTCAGCGGACCCCGACCCTATGGTGTGACAACGAGAGCACTATACACCTTACCAAAGACCCTGTCTTCCACCAACGGACCAAGCACAACGAGCTTCGGCACTTCTTTATGCGCGAGTTGGTCCAGCGTGGCCAGTTGTGGGTGAAGCACATTTCTTTTGACTGCAACCTCGCAGACCTGTTCACCAAGTCTCTTGGACGCCGTGACCACTACCGCCTCCTCCGTGCTATGGGTCTTGGCGTCCCGATGACTTCAGCCGTTGCAGCCTAGGGGGTGTGTTGGAGATAGGCTGCAATGTTGCACATTTGTGTGTTAGTCATTTGTTTGTTTAGGGTTAGGAATGTTTGTTAGGTTGGGTGTAGCTTTTTTTTATCTCCAACCTATCCCAACCCAATCCATCCCAAATCCCCACGATTTGGGAGGATTCCCTTGGGATTCCCTCCGATTCCTTTTATCCCTTCCAACCCTCTCCTATGGTTAGTACTTAAGCTTGTATACCCTCTCTCATTTTAATCAATCAAAGTCCTGTTTCTTACACCACAACCTGTAGCAGACTTCGGAGCCATTGGGAGGAGTGTGGTTAACGCTAGCCTTCCCAGCTGACTGACAACAGACGCCATGGCGTTAGGCTTGAGCATAAACTCGACCCGACCCGACCCGACTTTGCCGTACCCGATGTCGGGTTTGGGTCGGTCGGGTCGGGTCAAGTCAGGTCGATCCTAGGATTTCGCCGACCCGACCCGACCGTAACAGGTCGGGTTATCTCTTACTCGTGGTCGGGTCGGGTCGATCTAACCCCACCCGAGCCGACTTGACCCGACCTAAGTATTTTTTCCCGAGGGAAACATATGGATTTCGTAATTTTGAGATCCAGTATGTCCTCCTCGTGTCTAGCCCACACACCCACCTCATCCTCCCATCCACAACCTCGAGATGTGGGTTGGATGTTGGCGAAAACCAGTCACGGGATGGGTGTTTGATTGGTTGGGAGTGTTAGCGAAAAAATGGTTGGTGATTTTTTGGCTGGTTTGGGGATGTTGACGAGATTTTGGGTGGGCTGCGGGTGTTGGCGAAAATTGGGTGGGTTTGGGGGGGTGCTGGCGAAAATTCGGATGGGTTGGAGGTAGACATGGTCAAAACGCGATGCGATGCGATATCGCATCGCATTCTTTCTTACCGCACATTATATCGCAGCGATGCGACATCGCATCGCTGCGATATGTTAAAAAAAAAAACCGAAATTGCATATCGCGTTTTAGGGGGCGATATTTGAAAATATCGCCTCAAAAAAGCGATGCATCGCGCGATGCGATATAATATCGTATCGCATTTAGGGGCCACTGTTTTTCCGCCCTAAAAAACGTGTTCCCACACCAAAGGGCACGGCAATGGTGGCTCTCCTAGGTTCACGCGGAATTAGGTGAGTGAATTGACGGGAGATGGGAATATTGTGGTCCCTCTCTCATGTGGAGCGTGTTTGAGGGGAAGGGGTTGGATTCTGTAGATGTAGGGAAGTTTAGTGCGGTTGAAGTGGTGGAAATTGGTTGGAGTTCCAACCAATTGACTTTGGGGGTCGAGATTTCAGTCCTACCCCCTAAATCCCTTCAACCGCACACCACCACATCCCATCCAGAAAACCCACTCGCCCACCACCCACCACCAACCATAACAAATTTGAACCCCCACCAAACTCCCCTCCCTCAACCACACTGCACTCCTTCCCATCTAGAATCTCCAACCCTTCCTCTAATGTGCTCCAAGCTCTGCTCCTCACACAAACTCCTCCCCCCCAAAGTGCCGCTTGCCATTTCCGCGCGCCATTCAGCAAGAGAAAGCTAGACTAGCTTACCATCTATTTTCTCTAAGTTCAGGGGCCTCGCCCATGTCCCTCCCCTTGCTGGCGAAATTCCGCGACGCGTAACGCGAAAGTATCGCGCGCGATATATTTTTATCGCTTATCGCATTTTATCGCGCAAAGAATAGCGCGATAAAAACGCGATATCGCAAATATCGCGCGAAATTATCGCATCGCATCGCCGCGATATTCTTTATAAAAAAAAGATAAACCGCTATCGCAAAATGCGATATAACGCGATGCGATGCGATTTAACCATGTCTAGTTGGAGGTGTTGTCGAAAATCCGGATGGGTTGGGGGTGTTGGCGAAATTTGGATGGGTTGGGGGTGTTGGCGAGATTCGGATGGATGGGGTTGGGGGGTGTCGAGCTTGTTTGTTGAATAGGTGTGTTGGTTGAGTCGATCCAATAGAAATCGATCTGGATCTGCCTAGACCCTAATCTGTACTAATAAGTATGGTGGGGAGTAGATTAGTGGTAGGAATGAGCTGGATGCAGGGTAGAAATGGGAGGTAGCCTGACTAGGATCTGGGAAATGACCCATTTGGTCGAAAATTCGACCAAATAATCAGACTTTCCAGATCTGCGCAACTCTGGTCGCGCAGATCGCGTCGGTTCAAGGCGCGACCCGAGTTCGGGTCGAGTTGGGTCGGGTCAACCCAACGATGTATACCCGAACTCGGGTCGGGTCGAACCGACATGTCCGGTTCACCCGAACCCGTACATGTCGGGTTCGGGTCGGGTTGACCCGACCCGACGGGTAAAAATCAAACCCTACGGGTCGGGTTCTGCCTAGGGGAAACCTGACCCGACCCGTCAAAAAGTCGGGTTCGGGTCGGGTTACTCGACCCGAACCGACCCGTTGCTCAAGCCTACATGGCGTTGTGAATGTGGTTCAAATAATTTTACCCGATAGCTTCAGCTGGAGTTTGAAGGGGGTATATAGTCTTTCAGGGAAAGATTAGAGAGCCAAGTGTGGTTGTTGCACACACTTCTATTGGAATGGAATGCTGCCATGGTGAGGCACGTCCCCATCCTCCAGTAAAGCAGCTATGTGGAATCTGACATTGGAGGCTAGACTTGAGCATTTTACCCGGTCGGGTCGCGGGTACCCGACCCGACCCGACATTTTGGCCGGGTCGGGTAATAGGATTTTGTCGAATTACCCGGCCGGGTCGGGTCGGGTACTCGGGCCGGGTAATGCATACCCGTTACCCGAGAATTACCCGAAATGTCGGGTAATTTATTACTCGTCGGGTCACGGGTACCCGACCCGACTTTGGGTTTGTTACTCTGTGTTTGCTGAATTTTACAGCCACCTAAGGGTACCCGGGTAATATTACCCGACTTCAATTAAATGCGGGTCGGGTATACCCGACCTGACAGACGGGTACCCAATTACCCGGTATTAAAATGTCGGGTCGAGTAACAGACCTCCAAACATTACCCGGAAATTACCCGACCCGACCCGACCCGGACCCGATTGCGGGTAGGGAAAAACCGGGTCGGGTCGGGTAATTACCCGGTTTTGCTCGTGTCTATTGGAGGCGCTCCTCTTAAAGTTATCTCAACTATTTTCAGCTCGAGTAACAGTACAATTTGCGCACGCCTTTGCGTTTTGTTGTACAGATATAACTATTTTTAAGCAACGTTGCAGGCCATTCTGTCACATCATGATGGCCTCCCTAGTATATTAACAACCCCACTTTCTCTGCCTATTGCACATGCAGAAACCTTGAGAAGAACCTATTCACAGGAAGTATTCCTTCGTCCATCGGCAACATCGCCTTCATGGAGTACTTGTATGATAGCAAAGTATCTGGCAGGAACGTATCTGCTTGTGAGAGAGGTTGACAGAAACTTTGGACCGTTTCCCAATATCCTTGTACACGATTTGTGGAATGTTTATTGTCCATTTGTAGAATTAGCCCCCCGTACTTGTTCATGCTGTGCATGTATCGATCTGTCAACCGCAGGGCTCTAAGCTACAACCAGCTCACTGGCCCCATTCCCGACTCTCTCGGTTGCCTGCAGCGCCTCACATACCTGTGAGACCCTTGGGCCATGCTATGCCAAGGAACCAATGCTGGGAATTGCCACACATGTGTGTTTGGATGATGATGATGATGATGATGATGATGATGATGATGATGATGATGATGATGATGATGATGATGATGATGATGATGATGATGATGATGATGATGATGATGATGATGATGATGATGATGATGATGATGATGATGATGATGATGATGATGATGATGATGATGATGATGATGATGATGATGATGATGATGATGATGATGGTGATGGTGATGGTGATGATGGTGATGGTGATGGTGATGGTGATGGTGATGGTGGTGATGGTGATGGTGATGGTGCCGATGCCGATGCCGATGCCGATGCCGATGCCGATGCCGATGCCGATGCCGATGCCGATGCCGATGCCGATGCCGATGCCGATGCCGATGCCGATGACGATGACGATGACGATGACGATGACGATGACGATGACGATGACGATGATGATGATGATGGTGATGGTGATAATTCGCTGCCCCCCTGCAGCCTGCAACAAAATCTTCACCTAGAGGTGGTGAGAAGGCGCTAAGATTGGTTGGTGGAATGATGGTGTGACATCCTACTTACCGAAAAGGAAACCTCCAGGAACGAGGGAGTGAAGGAACATGGGACTCATTGGTGAGCATTCGGTGGAGATCAGTTTGTGGGTAGGTGTCACTGACAGTTCGTGCAAAGGACAGTTAAATTGCAGATTATACCGAACGAAAACGATTAACACATGTTACACGACACGTAACGTGAGGCACAGCATATCCAGAAATCTAAAAATGCTAATTGTCTTCTTGTAGTTTGCATTTGTTTGCTGTGACGAATCGCATTTATGCTGCAGCTTGTGGTGTTCCTGCTCAGCCAATTCCAGCAAGGGCGTTTGATCTGAAGACTGAGAGGCCTGTCATGAGGCAAATTCCAAGGACACTAAGCATTAACCAGAGGCCATCTTTCATCTAAGTTGATGCCATGCGCCCGGATTGCTGATTTGTGTGTCTGGGTTTTGTGTTCTGTGTGTCTGATTGAGATTTTTTTCTGTTTGTCTTCATTTTCTGAGGTTCCGTGTCCGGCTTCCTTGCACGGGCAGTGATGGTACTACAGGCTTCATGTGGCACCTTTTGCTCCCTTTGTTTCCAGTAGACATGGGCAAAATGCGATTGCGATTTAAATCGCATCGCATTGGGGGGTGATTTAATCAAATGCGATGCAATTTTAAATCGCATCGCGTGATTTAATTTCTGAAAAAAAAAAAAAAATCGCACATCGCGTTTTGCGCGCGATGAATATTAAAACCGCATGCGGTATTTATTTAAATCGCGCGATGCGATTTTAAATCGCATCGCGTTTTAAAACAGAATAAAAAAACACCCCAAAATACCAGAAAAAAACCATGGTTGCCGGGAAATTGTATCACGGGCAGTTGTAAGCTAGAGTGCAAATAACTAGTGTGGTTTCGTAGTGGGTTTCAGAGTGGGTTTCAGTGCAACATCGCGCACGATTTTTAAAAAATCGGATATCGTATTTAAATCGGGTTTTTTAAAGCGCGATTTAAATTAAATCGCGCGATATTAATTCATCGCATCGTGCGATGATTAAAAAAAAAAAAAAAAAAAAAAAAAAAAAAAAAAACGCAATCGTTAAAACGCGATTAAATGCGATGCGATGCAAAAAAAAAAAAAAAAATCCCATGTCTAGTTTCCACTGCTTCTACGCACTCTGTCTTCCGTCTCCCCTCATCCTTCCTTCTATCTCCTGCGTGCCATCCTTCATCTGCGTGTCCGTTCGGGGATGCTCCCCTGCACCAGCTCACTGTATGAGAATCAGCTGACAGGATCCATCCCAGAGTCACTTGGAGCCCTCTCTGCTCTCAACGACCTGTAAGGCTCTCTCTTGGGCCTCATAGTCATGACTCATAGTCAACTGGTTTACTGTCCCTCGCACACTTAGCTCGATGTGCCATGCTGGTTTTGAGGATCCCAATGAAGCCCCATGGTCTATGGCCTGTCCACTACCCTTCCCTAGTTTGTTATGTGTCAACCAACTGAGGGGGTCAATTCCAGCATCCCTGGCATCGCTGCAGAACCTTCAAGGCCTGTAGGTGACCAAGTGCCCAAGGTGCAAAATTTCGGCAGGCAGTTTTTTTCCGATGGTTTTTTCCGGTGATTTTGGGAAAAAACGCCGAATCTTCAATAGAGTGTTCCGGGGTTTTTTTCTTTCTAAGTCCTAAACGTCCAGCGGGTCCGCGCATTTCGTCCGCCAAAACGTGAGATCCGCACATTTTGGCGGGAGAAATGCCAGATCTGCGCATTTTGGCGGGCGAAATGTCAGATCCGCACATTTCGTCCACCAAAACGAGGGATCCGGCACATTTTAGCAGGCAAAATGCCAGATCTGCGCATGTTGCCGGTATATTTTGCTGTTCTTTTCTAAATCGGCCGAATTCTTTTACCAAAGAAAATAGTCAAGAGTTTTTCTCGTATTATACGGCCGCTTAATTCAGTACCGTACCATACGCTCTCAAAGGGGAAAAAACGGCCATATGTTGTACCTCGCATGTGCCACACATCTCTCATGTTTCGTCTGTTATGTTTTACATATACTCTGGCAAGGTCAACACTTCCAAGTTCCAACCAAGATCCTACTGGACAACAGTTTCCAGCCAAGTTTGAACTCACGTCAAGAGCATGGCATGTGACCGATATGCAGACCAGTCGCAGACACTAGCTTTCCTCACCATTTAGTATTCTATGTGCTCTGAGGTTCTTTAGCCCCTTCACCATCTCATTCACCCTGTTTTCTCTGCCATAGTGCGCTCTTTCTCCAAAGTTACTCTTGCCCGCCTTGGGCTTAATTTTGCACATGTCTCACATGTTATTCTGAATCACCCAGCGTGCACATGTTTCCCTTACTCATGTTTCAGACCCTGCTCATTCCTCTTGCGCACCATGCCCTCCTATGTTGCACATCATGCCGTCTTATGTTGCACATCGTGCTCGTGTCAGATGTCTCAGTTGGAACCGCCTGTCAGGAAGCATACCGGCTTCTTTGGGCGACCTTGTGCATCTCCAGGACCTGTAAGGAATCAACCCTACCATGTGGTCCAGCAGCAGGTCGCTGGCAGCCCACCATCATCAATTCCATTCCAGGCATCACTTGAATGGGCGCGCTGAGTATTCCCTGGGTGGGTTGTTTTGTTTTACCGTCTGTAGGTCTAAGAGAGAGAGTTCAACGGTCACCATGAGCAATGATGCTTCTGAGCTGCACGAGGTGCCCTATTGAAAAGATGCTACTGGCCTGGTGATGCATGTCATGCCAACTAGCTTGTCGACGTATGCCAGATGGAGATGTTTTCATGTGACGGAGGCACAGTTGCCTTGCAACAAGTTGCTCACTATGCTATCCCTGCATCTCCCTAGTTGCTTTCACATCCTTTCAGCCTCTCTCATCCTTTCAGCCTCTCTCATCCTTTCAGCCTCTCTCATCCTTTCAGCCTCTCTCATCCTTTCAGCCTCTCTCATCCTTTCAGCCTCTCTCATCCCTTCAGCCTCTCTCATCCTTTCAGCCTCTCTCATTGTCGCGCGAATTGTCATAATGAATGTGTTTTGACAATTCGCGGGACAACTTGAGAGGGTTAAGCGAAAAGAGTTGGGGATAGAAAGTGGTGTACAGGCGATGTCGGTAAAAGAGGTTGTACAGTGATGGGTGTCCAAATCGAGGATGGGGAGCAGAGGAGCGATTCGCTAGTTGGCAGGAGGGGCATGCAGTTGGGAACAGCTAAGCGGTGGCAAGAAAGGTGAAGGGGGAAGGCATGCAGTGCGGCGAGGGGCAGTGTCGATGGCAAAGCGGCAGGGAGCCATCACGGCGGAAGAAAACCCGAAACGGTTTGCGGCGGGAAGCATGGGAGGGAGGGGCGAGCGCTCCTGAGTGAATCCGCCTGGAGGTAGCCACAAAACTGCGTGTGCGTAGTTGTGTAGCTACTTCTGTTTGTTCTCTCGAGATCATAGGAAAGCGTGTATGCCCTGTGAGTAGTGGATTCATTCAGGAGCATAAGCTAGAACTATGTAGAGAGGCCAGACAGGGTGGGTATTGAGTTAAGAAGAGCTTTTGTGGAGATCTTCTTACAAACAGAAGTCTAATGGCGGGCATGTCGCTGCGGAGCGGAGCGCGGCTGCCCGGGGTTGAGGATCCGTCGGGTGGGGAGGGTGAAGGTCCTCACGTCGACGTAGGGGAAGAGAGGGGCGCTGATGAGCCCGCGGTCGCTCGAGGAGATGCGAGCGAGGAACGGCGCGAGCCGGGACCCGATGAGCAGAGAAGCGCGGAGGAGCTTCGTGCTTCCAGCGGCTTTGCGATGCGCGCGGATTGCCATGCCAGCGGAAGGATTCCACCGGCAGGTCGGGGCGCAAACGCGGGACAGGCGGCGGAAATGGCGAGTGCAGGTAGCCTACCCCGGGCAGGAAGCTCGCGACGTTCTCTGTGGGATGAGGGAGCGAGGTATCGCTACACCAGCCTGCCGAAAGTGGAAGTGCCGGCGCGATTCACTGGAGATCAAGAGACCGGGCCCCGCTTCAAGGCGTATGCGATGCACGTCAGGAGTGAGAAATATTGCTGGGAGCTGGACGGATTGGATCTCAGGCACTTTTTCCGCTCCTTAGGGAATACGTTGGCGGGCGAAGCCGAAGCGTTCTTCCTGGAAGTCCGCGATACCCTGCTGGAGGAAGAAGAGAGGGATGCCTCGGGAAGGGTGCGCCACGATGCGGAAGGGAGGGTGGTGAAGCTGCTCGATCCGACGGAGCAGTTCCTGGCAGAACTGCAGGTCCACTTCCCTACCCAGACGCCGGCGCGACTGCGAGAGTTCGAGCAGTTGAGGAGGGCTCCGCGAGAATCGCTACTCACCTACTATCGCCGAGTGGACCAGCTAGCAGAGGACATCGGCTGCAACGAGCCCAGGATTGTGGTGGCGAAGTTCATGGATGGATTATCGGGGGATCTGGCCCGCACGGTGAGAGACCGGACTTACGACTTGGGTCCTAACGCCACGCTTCGGCAAGCATATGACATCGCGTAGCGCCATGAGCAGTCGCTAAGTCTTTATGACATGGGAAGGAAGGTGGACCGCAGAACCAGGGAACGCGAGCGGAAGGGAGTAACCTGGGGCGGCGCGATGATGGCCGGGAGCGAAGAGGACGATGAAGAAAAGAAGGAGAGTAGGGAGTCTCGGGGGAAACCTCGGAGGGCAAGGAGCGCCACGCCGCCATCGTGAGAGGAGCCTGTGTGCTACAAGTGCCGGGAACCGGGACATTTTAAGCGGGACTGACCTAAGCTTCAGACATGTACATACTGCCAGCGCAGGGGTCATGGGGCGGAGAACTGCTACACCAAACAGAGGGAGGAAGGGAGCCGGGTGGGACGCCGCAACCGGATCGAAGCTCTGGAAGAAGAACTGAGGCGGCTGAAGGCAGCCGAAGGAGAGGGGGAGGAAGAGGAAGGCCGAGAGAACCTCATGGCTCGGAGTCCGGTGGA